GTAGCTTGGTCAATTTAGTATCTTAGATGTGAAGAATTCATTTTTGGACATGGATTTCTAGTTTTAGCGGGAGCTCTGGTGGCATAGTACCTAAGGCATTTGACTGCTAACCAGAAGGCTGGCAGTTCAAACCCACCAGCTACTCCTCAGAAGGAAGGTTGGGCAATCTACTTCTGTAGTTATATCGCCTCGGAAACCCAAGGAGGGGTTGCTCTGAGTCAGATCTGACTTGACAGCAGTGAGTTTGGTTTGGGTTTGGTTTCTAGTTTTAGCAGGAGTTTATAGAGGTTTTTCTCAGGTAAAAATGAGAGCATAGCACTAATCTAGAGTTATAGGAAATAATGACAATGAATTTGAACAAACTAAAGATTTTCAAGTAGAAAATTTAAAATTTTTTTTTAATGTTTTTAATTTTATCCGCTATAGCTGAGGACTCTTAATGAATTTGCTAATATTTAATTATAAATTACTACAAAATCTAATAGAAGATTTAGACATGTTTCCAGCCAAGGTTGCTGCTATTGCTAATTCTGTACCTCATGTGTCACTCTGGAATTTTTAATTTTAAGGTTAGCTCCTAATAGCCTATGGGAAGACTAGGGGAATAATTTTAAATCATCTTCTAAGTTTCCTTATCACCTTAGTAACTGAGAAAGACTAAGGGCCTATTATTTCAATGTGGAAAAAAAAAAAAGGTAAATGAAAATTGTTTACTTGAATTGGCCGGTAAATCCTGAAATGAAAACAGGTAATTTTAATTTCACCTCCTACCCTAAGACTGTATAGCCCTGGGCATAGCCCTTTCTCCTGAATTGTAGCTTAGGCCTATGTGTTCCATGTTAACACTAACCTAGGTTCTAACTGGGTGTCTTGGTGATATGTTTAGCCTACTATAAGCAAAAACACTGTTTAAGTAAAATAAAGGGGAAGACGACATGATTTTTATGCTTCAGACTGAATACAGACCAAAATACAGGTCATGGTAACTGCAAAAATCAGTCAAAACAGAGTGCTTTGGGAATGCTGTAAAATTTTTCTCAATCTGGTTGCATATTGGTATCATTCTGGATGAACTTTTAAATAGTACCAAGCTTTACTGTAGACCAATAAAATCAGAAAGTCGGGGAAGAACTCAGATATCAATATTTGTAAACAGTCCATGTGACTCATTTAGAATCACATGGACTGTTTATAAATGAGGTAACTCCAAATGGAAGAATCTGGAAAGCCTTCATGGTAGCAGTGGTAACTGAATTGGGTCTTGGAGGATTTCAACAAGAAACTGACATTCCTAGAGTGAAACTGCATAAGCCAAGGCAGGAAATAGAAAAAGGATGGCTCAGTTCTCAATTATTCCTTAGAGGCTTTAGCATTCCAATCTATATTCCAAGTCAGTTTCCTAATTGTATAACCAGGATAAGAAAATGCATCATTGCTTCTTCTAGCTAACTTTGTTATATCTCACTTCCAAAATTTTTATCCAATAAAACTCCCTCAGACTGCCTCATAACCCTCTTTGGCAATCAAAAGCAAAGTTACAGAAAACTTAATGAAGGAAATCCTTTTTACATATCACTCTTACACCATAGAAATCCTGGCATTACCTTGATATATTTAGGAACACCTTTTTGTTATTGTTTGTTGGTTTAATTTTTCCAAATAATACTTAGTCTCAATTAAGTTTTATAAATGTGTCTTTTTAATTGTTGTTGTTGTTGTTGTTGTTGTTATGTGCTGTCAAGTCAGACCCGACTCATAGTGACCCCTCCTTGGGTTTCCAAGGCAGTATCACTACGGAAGTAGATTGCCCAACCTTCCTTCCGAGGAATGGCTGTTGGGTTTGCACTGCCAGCCTTCTGGTTAGCAGTCAGTTGCCTTAGGCAATACACTACCAGAGCTCCTATCTTATTAGTAGGTATGGTAAACTTTATAGAGGCTAAAAGTCCTACTTTTCAATCTTTAGTCTGTGTTATAAAGAATAGTAGATATGTAGTTACGGCTTTATCAACCATGTTGACCAAACAGTTTGTTGTTTATGAAGCTTTGCAGTAGAGTTCATCATTGTTGCAAATGAGAGGTTTAAGCTGAAAATTCATTCCAGTAAATTAACCCATAGCGCAGTGTTAACTACTGATAAGTGATCTGCCATCTTTCATGGTACTATAATATTCAAACTACAAATGGAGTTGTTGATTTCTTTTACCTATATTCTCTATCTGTAGTGCCACAGGTAGTCCTTATGTCATCCTGGAAAAACTCTGTTTTGTCCCATACACTAACCTGTTAACAAAACGCAGACAAATATTTTCACCACTAACTGTTTTTGCTCTCTGCAGAAAGTGAATGAAGGGAAATACCGAAGTTATGAAGAGTTCAAAGCTGATGCTCAACTGCTTCTCCACAACACAGTTATTTTCTATGGAGGTTGGATATTTTTTGTTTTTTCTTTTGTATGTGTGTGTTTAAATACCATTTCTATTCTATGTTGAGAAATATCTTTTATAAAAAAAATAAATTAAAAAATTAACATCTTAAAGATCTTTAAGAGAGAATGTTAGGATTTAAATTGTTGAGAATATTTGGTGATGCAATTATAGCATAGAGACTTGACTGGCCAAAGGCACCACTATAGTACACTAAGTGATGAAAATATTATGATTCTTTATTGTTTTATACGTATTTGTCTTAGTTAACATACTTTTTTTATGAGTACTTTGATTAGTTCTGGTTGTTTCTCCTTAAATATCCCATCATTGAAAGGTAAAAAGGTAATTCTATACCTAGAGAAACAGTAGTTATACTCAATGTAAAAGATGCCTATAGTTTTAAATGAAATTTTCTGAACTTCATTTAAAATATGTATTTTGAAAATAAAATACGTATTTTGATTTTAAATGGTTTATGTCCACTTTTGCTAAACTAAAAGAAAATTAAATGATGGTGTTAATTTTGATTGTCTTGTTTTTCTAGATTATTGGTAATAGGTAATATCTATCTTTAATTACAGCAGAGAGTGAGCAAGCTGACATAGCAAGGATGCTATATAAAGACACATGCCATGAGGTACTATTCATACCTAATAAGTAAAGTCTTGCTATAATACAAATTAATTTGTTTTTTCAGATTCTTCTGTTCTTATATATATATTTAAAATACGCCATTACCTTTATTTTTTTTTTTTTTTCTGGCAAAACTCTACTCAGATAAATCCTAAGAGTTAGATTTAGTTACTTAAGTAACTTGCACAAGGAAACTTTTGTTTTCTCATCTGTAACAATCCTTAAGAGGTGTTGCATTAGTTAGATAATGTATATGTAAATGTGTTACCTGGACATATAATCAATGTGCCCTATTTGAATAGAGGATTCAAATTTGAATCCGTTATAATTATACAGCTTAAAAAAATAAACTAAGTTCATATCTATATAATAAATGAATATATTTAAGGAGTTTTTTTGTGGTCATTCTCATTTGAAACACTCACTGGTAACTATCCTATCTTTTAAGAATATCTCTTATAAAAATGTATTTTTTAAATTTATTTCAAATTTGACTTTTGTCTTTTATTCATACAATAAATATTTATTGAGTGTTTATTATGTGCCAGGAAGTGTGTTTGAAGGGAAAAAATGGTAAAAATCACGAACTTCCTCCTCATGGAGCTAGATTATGATGAAGGAGATTAGGGGTTAGGGGAAAGAAACATAAAATAGCTTTCATCAGCAGTTATAGAAAAAAAGATTATGAAAGAAGCAAGAGACTAAAATGGAGAATGATGCAAAGTAAGGATTGCTGCTGTTGGTAGTGAATATTTTACATGGGTATACCTAGATAAAATTACTTTTTTTTGAGGAAATAATATATAAGCCTACAGCTAAACAAACAGAAGATACCAAGGCAGAGATTAGACCATGACAGGCCTTGTAAGGAATTTGTATTGTATTTTAAATGTAAAATGAGACCAAAAAAATAGTAGTTTTCACAGGAAAGTGACAAGTTCTTCTAGTATTTATTGAAAAAATAAAAATGTAAGCTTATGTAAGCAAAAAAGATTTTATAAGGAACGAAATTCAAGCTTATCTATGAATGAGACTTAATTTACATGAATATATTTAATATAGTTTAATAAATACGTATCTCTTACATAGGCTAAAACAGTTTTTCTTTTTCAGCTGGATGAACTACAGCTTTGCAAGAATTGCTTCTATTTGTCAAATGCTCGCCCTGACAATTGGTTCTGCTATCCTTGTGTATGTGAAAATTTGTAATTTCTATTTTTTTCTTTAAGTGGATAATGTACTGCTCTAAAAAAACAAACGCACTGCCATTGAGTCAATTCTGACTCATAGTGACTCCCATTGGGTTCTCAAGGCTGTAAATCTCTACAGACGTAGATTGCCTCATCTTCCTTCTGTGGAGCAGATGTTGGGTTTAAACTGCCAGCCTTCTTTTGGTTAGCAGCCAAATGCCTTTACCACTGCACCACCAGAGCATCTTATTGTACTCTTCTAAAGAAGTTTATTTCCACTTTGTTTAAAGGTTATAGTCCTTCCTAAATAGATTTCATTATGTCAGAATATTATTGTTATTATTTGTTATCATTGATTACAACTCTTGGTGACCCCATGCATACAGAGTAGAACTGCTCCGTAGGGTTTTCAAAGCTGTGACTTTTCAGAAGCAAATCACCAGCCCTGTCCTCTGTGGTGTTTTGGGGTGGGCTTGATCCACCAACCTCTCAGTTAGAAGGCAAGTGCTTTACCTTCTGCACCACCTAAAGGTATATGGTTTTAATGCATATAAAAAGCTGAAACATTGGGAAAATAATGAGATTGTCATCTATTTCAGATTTTAAAATGAAGAGCTTAAATAAGTTGTGGGTTTCATGATAAATAGAATTCTGACTTTTCCTCTCATTCTTTCACAAGAAACGTAAGGCTTTATATCTGTCTGTAACAAACCTAGGGCTCCAGTTATTTAATTTCCTCTAAAATGATGTAAGTTCAAGAAGACAGCAGAAGGGCAGCCTGTGAGTGTTCTAGATATGCATGACACTAGGCTGTAAGAGGACAGTGCTTCTGAAAAAGTGCCTATCAGTCCCTTGAGGATTTTGTTAACATGTAGATTTAGTAGATCTGGACTACCAGTTGCATTGAGTTGATTCTGACTCATGGAGATCCCATGTATGTCAGAGTGGATTTTCAGTGACTAATTTTTCAGAAGTAGATCACCGATTCTTTTCTTCCAAGGAATCTCTGGATAGATTTGAACATCTAGCTATTTGGTTAGCAAAAAAATAAACTCACTGCCAATGAGTTGGTCCCAACTCATAACGACCCTTCCTTGGGTTTCTGAAGCAGAATCTCTATGGAAATAGATTGCCCAGTCCTCCTTCTCAGGAGTGCCTGGTGGGTTTGAATTGCCAGCCTTCTGGTTAGCAGTCAAACGCCTTAAGCACACCACCAGAGCTCCTGTTTCATTAGCAACTGTACGCATTAACTGTTTGCACCACTCTGAGACTCAGATCTGGTCTAGGTCCTAGAATTCTCTCATTTCTAACAAGCTGATCTTGTTCAGGTGGTGCTGATCTGAATTGAACTATATTATATGAAGCAAAGTAAGGGTGGTCTTTTTGCCACTATTATTTAATATGGCCCTTGGCTTCAGTGGCTGCACCATTCCAAAGCACAACAAGCTGTGGAGAGAATGTTTTTCCTCTGAGAACTAAAGATTCACACTCTTACCCAGATTTGAATTTTTTGTGTTTTTCCCGAAGATCAACCAACCTCAGGGAAAAAAGTTCAATTTGTTTAGGAGTTAGAAGGGAATTCTTTTCAAAATAATAGATTATACTTAATTCAATAGTGCAATATTAATAATGTATTTGCATGTAATACTTTAAAAGTAATATAACAAGGTAAAACATTCTGTTTCCAGATACCTAATCATGAGCTGGTCTGGGCTAAAATGAAAGGTTTTGGGTTTTGGCCAGCCAAAGTCATGCAGAAAGAGGACAATCAGGTTGACGTCCGCTTCTTTGGTCACCATCACCAGAGGTAATTCGTGAATCCATGTGCAAATGATCATAGTTGTGCTTCTCAAGAACTCTTTAAGAGAATGATAAATCACACCTTTTATAATGTTCTGATTTCTCCATCAGAGAAATTATGAAATTTATTTTAAATTAATTAAACAAAGTCAGCACAAAACTAACAATGATTTCTGTAAATTATATTTCTAGATATATTTCAAATGTCATTTACTAAACTAAGGAAATTTTCCATAACTGACACTGTTGACCCTCAGAAGTATGTTCATCCTGAGACTGAATTCATAGTGACAGTGAGGTGGAAGGGTTCTCAGAATGTGTTCTTTTCATAATGTTGTAAGGATGTTATTAGTTGATTTAAGGGCCTGTTGATGCCATGGACAAAAATTATTGATTAAGGAGTACAAGAACATATCAATCTTGTGGTCTAAGCATATATATAAATACATTAACTATATGTAAGAATTATATGTGTATAACCACAAGACATGGTTTCTAATTCAGATTTAAAATTTTCTGTTGCTGAGGAGATGTATAGAGTGCAACTTATTCATATTTTCATGTAATAAGAATTATGTATCTCAAAAGTAAAAACCATTTTTTATTATAAAAATTATTTTACCCAATTAAGTATCTCATATGAGGAATGCTGAAGAACATGACTAAAATTACAACTAACTTCTTCATTTTGATGTTAAGCTCCTAACCTTTATTGAGCACTGAAGGTTAGAAAGTCTAAAGTGTTTTCCTAAATAATGTCACTAACAGAATTAATTTTTAAAAATGTGAGTTCACATCTTGTGCACTATCAAAGACTCAGAGGTTGATGTGATTTTCTCTTTTAGTTCATTTAACACAGTTAACTTTACATGAACGTTACCACAAAGTATTTAATAGGGCAAAAAAAAATGAGCTATATAATTTAAAAGTCAGTCCTTGCAAGTATTTAAATTAACAAAAAATAATCACTGTTGTCAGTGAATTATACGTGGTGGTGTTGTTGTTATGTGCCATCGAGTCGTCTCTGACTAATATTATAGCAACTTATGTACAACAGAAAACACTGCCTGGCCCTGTGCCAGCCTCACGGACCCTACTATGCCCGAGCCCATCACTGCAGCCACCGTTCTGTCCATCTTATTGAGGGCCTTCCTCTCCTTCATTGACCCTCCACTTTACCAAGCATGAATGGTCCCTTCTGACAACATGACCAAAGTAGGTGAAATGAAGTCTAGCCATTGTCGCTTCCAAGGAGCATTCTGGCTGCACTTCTTCCAGGACAGATTTGTTAATTCTTCCAGCATTCTTCGCCAGTACCACAACTCAAAAGCATCAACTCTTCTTCGGTCTTCCTTGTTCATCGTCCAGCTCTTGCATGCATATGAGGTTATTGAAAATACCATGGCTTGAGTTAAACACACCTTAGTCTTCAAGGAGACATCTTTGTTCCTCAGCACTTGAAAGAGGTCTTTTGCAGCAGATTTGCTCAATGCAGTATGTCGTCTGAAGTCTTGACTGCTGCTTCCATTGGTGTTCATTGTACAACCAAGTAATGTGACAACTTCAATCTTTTCTCCATTTATCGTAATGCTGCTTATTGGTCCAGTTGTGAGGATTTTTGTTTTCTTTATATTGAGATGTAAACCATACTATGGACTGTAATCTTTAATCTTCATCAGTAAGTGCTCCAAGTAATCCTCATTTTTAGCAAGCAAAGTTGTGTCAAGTGCATATCTCAGGTTGTGAATGAGCCTTCCTCCGATCCTGATGCCATGTTCTTCTTCATATAGTCCAGCTTCTTGGATTATTTGCTTAGCATACAGATTGAATAAGTATGGTGAAAGAATACAACCCTGACGTACTCCCTTCCTGATTTTAAACCATGCAGTATTCCCTTGCTCTGTTCGAACAACAGCCTCCTGGTCTGTGTACAGATTCCTCATGAGTACAATTAAGTGTTCTTAAATTCCCATTCTTTTCAATGTCATCCATAATTTGTTATGATCCGCACACTCAAATGCCTTTGCATAGTCAATAAAGCATAACAAGTAGACATCTTTCTGGTATTCTTTGCTTTGAGCCAAGATCCACCTAAAAGCAGCTATCATATCCCTCATTCCCTGTCCCCTTCTGAATCCAGCTTGCATTTCTGGAAGTTTCTCTGTCAACATACTGCTGCAACCTTTTTTTTATTTTTATTTTTAATTTTTATTGTGATTTGGGTGACAGCTTACAGAGCAAATTCATTTTCCACACAGAAGTTTACATACACTTTGTCTCATGACATTGACTGCAGTTTCCCACAGTGCAACAGCTCTCTTCCCAATTCATCCCCATTGTTACCTCTTCCCTGTGTCCTTCCCTCCCATGCACTCTCACCCCCTGAGCTTCTCCCTGTGCATACACCCTTCTATTCGCCCATGATTGATGTCTCCAAGGAGTGTATCTACCTAATGTAATTGTTCAGCTTATATGCCTATCTTTTGTTTGGCTGGAAGCCACAGAAGTGAGTTCAGTTCCAGACCTGAAGGGCAGCTAGGGACCATAGTCTCAGGGATTCCACCAGGCTCTATGAGACCAGCAAACCTGGTCCCCCCTTTTCTTGATGATTTTGAGTTTTGTTCCACATTGTTCTCCTGCTCTATCCAGGATCTCCTACATAGATCCTTCTCCAAGTGGTTGACAGTGGTAGCTGGGTACCATCTAGTTCTTCTGGTCTCATAGTCATATAGGCTGAGGATCGCATGGTATACCAGTCCCTAGAACTAATTGTTTCCATTCATCTTTAGTTTTCTTCATTCTCCTTTGCTCTCAATGAGGAGAGACCTATTGTTTACTGCAATCGTTTTTTAATTATCTTCAGTAAGATTTTACTTCATGTGATATCAATGATATTGTTTGATAATTTCCACATTCTGTGGGATTACCTTTATTCAAAATGGGTACAAATATGGATCTCTTCCAGTCAGTAGGCCGAGTAACTGTCTTCCAAATCTCTTGGCATAGCCAAGTGAGTACCTCCAGTGGAGCATCCATTTGTTGAAACATCTCAATGGGTATTCTGTCAATTCCTGGACACTTGTTTTTTTGCCAATTCCTTCAGTGCAGCTTCGAGTTCTTCCTTTAAAACCACTGGTTCTTGATCATATGCCACCTCATAAAATGGAAGATCATCTCACAGTTCTTTTTGGTGTAGTGACTCTGTGTATTCCATCCATCTTCTTTTGATGTTTCCTGCATCGTTCAGCATACTGCCCATGGAATCTTTCCATATTGCAATTTGAGGCTTAAAGTTTTTCCTCAGTTCTTTCAGCTTGAGAAATGCCAAGAATGTTCTTCCCTTTTGCTTTTCTAACTCCTGGAATGTCCCCCTTCTTATGGTCCCCTGTCTAAATCTTACTCATCTTTCAAAATCAAGACCAAATGGAGTTATATGTAACTCCATTGTACATATAGGAACTGCTGAACCAATGTGTATTCTCAACAAAGTCTAAAATAATAATAATAAATCATTGTACAGTCCACAGAATGTCTTCCATGATGTTCAAAGGGTAGTCTTATGCAAATATCGTTATTATAAGAGAAGCTACAAAATGAGGGACTTCTTCCACTACATAATGAATTTTTATTTAATCTTCATTTTCTTTAAATAGAGGTTTAGTTAACCTGAAACCTGTGAATACATACTAAAACGTTCAAAAAAAGTAGTTCTGTTCTTTCATAGATTGATACACATTTAGCTGAGATGGCTGTTATGTCAAGACATTAAATAATGATACAATAAAATAACCCATTATGAAATTAATATTTTAATTATATGATTATTAAGTGATTAACTTTGAATATTATATTTGTAATACTTCATATTCATTTGATTTCAATTTCTTATCCAGCCAGGCAGTGTGGCAGCAGGTGGGTTAACATACAGGTTAAACGTAGGTAGTCTCTATGCAGAAACCGTCCATCTCTAGATTGAGACCCAGGGGAAACAATAGGTAGAATGGGTAGATTAAAAACTATGTCTTGGCTTCAGCATCTACTGCTTCTCTAATCTTCGGCATGAATTTAATCCTTCTGAGCCTTAATTTTCTCTGTAAAACAGAGTCTCAATAGTACCTGTGTCATAAAGGTTTTTGTAAGGTTAAAAAAATTTATATACAAAGACCAAAGCACTGTAACTGGAAGAAAGTGAATAATCAGTAACTGTTAGCTATTGTAATGCAAATGTGCAAAGAAGGAGGGGGGAAAAGAGTTTTATTCCATTTAGTTGGTTCGTCACATACAACACAATTAGAAAATTCAGTTATTTTAAAAATCCATACTGATAAGTAAGAGAATCTGATCATCAGAAATCAGTTTGCAAACAGTTGTATCTTCAACCATATTAATAATATGAATTAATTTGCTTTATCTTATTCATTATACCACCAAAACATATTTAAAAACTATTTGAGCTAATCTGTGTGAATCCTTAATTTGTCCCTTAAAAGAGAATTAAAACATGAAATTACATTACCAGAGTCACATTTGCAAATATAATTGGAAAATGACATTATCCCAAGCTTACTGTTTTCTGGAAGATCTTACTTAAACAGTTTAGTCTCTATGTAGAAACTGCCCATCACTAAATTGATATATTTCACAATGCTGTCTCCCAACTTGTACCTGATGCTCTAGAAGATGTCTTAACTATTGCTCAGGTATCCCTACAGTTTTCTATCTCATATGTGGCATTCCCTCTGCCTGAAATGTCTCCACTCATATGGTCCTCTGTCTTAATCTTATTCATCTTGCAAAATCAAGCCCAAATGAAGCCATCTAACACTTACAACCAAATGAAAACCTCTTCCTCTCCACAGCACCTGAGATGTACCTTTACTACATGTTGCAATGTATTAGAATTACTTCCTTAGTTTTTTTCTGAGAAAACTGTAAGTTCCTTAAAGGCAGAGGCAATGTGTATACAGAAGTACCATCCTATTAATTAAGAGACCTAAGTCCTCACTAGATTCTAGCCACTATTTAAGTTTACCTTAACCCATATGGTAATATCTCATTTAGCTATAAAATGAGACAGAAGAAGTCAAGATCAAATAGATTCCAATTCACCTTTATATTCTTTGTAGTGCCTTCCATTGATACAAAAATATTTGTTGAAATGATATAACATTCTAGACTTATACTAATTTAAATTTAGTTAGAAGATCAATGCCTAGAAAAAACATTCTTGAATATTTAGCATTGTTCCCAGTGGAAGATAGTTTTTCAGTTTGTAGTTTTAGTTTTATATTACACATAATTCAGAGGCACTTAAAATTGTGTTCATAGCTAAGTACTTTATTGCTAAAAGATATAAACACTTCTCTATTCATTAGTCATGGTTTCTCTAATAATGAATAGGGGCATGATACAAATATAAGTAGTATTTTATGTTTATCCTAATTTTATACAGATAAATGTATATATCATGAAAATTACTGGCATTTTCAAATGATTATGTAGTGTTGATCTGCAAATAATAGATGGGCCTACTAATTTACCATATCAGTAAGAAGAAGTATTTTAAAAAGGATTTATGAACAATGTAGATATGAACTATGGCTTGAGCTCAGCAAATTAAAGAAAATAATGAATAATAAGGAGGTATTTGTGAGTCACTTAAAGTCTGAGAACTTTGGTGACTTTAAAAAATAATCACTTCAACTCTTTTCTACTCAGTAGTAGTTTGTTCTTTCAAATCATAATTAACAGATCATATTAAATTAGAATTGCCATAGATATTACTTTACACTAGGTAAAATCTACTAAATACTCTTACATGTATACCTTTGCTACCAATTTGGAAATTTTTAACTATACTTTTAAATGTTTTCAACAGGGCCTGGATTCCTTCTGAAAATATACAAGACATCACTGTTAACATTCACCGGTTGCACGTTAAGCGCAGTATGGGTTGGAAAAAGGCATGTGATGAGTTGGAATTGCATCAGCGTTTCCTTCGTGAAGGAAGATTTTGGAAGTCTAAGAATGAGGACCGAGGTGAGGAAGAGGCAGAATCCAGTATCTCCTCCACAAGTAACGAGCAGGTGAGTTGTGTCTCACTTAGAAACTACTTAGGAATGATTGTTTTTTAAATACGAAAATTGTTAGTATATATTCCCCACTGTAATGAACAGATTCTGACATTTTTTCTTCTCTTTCATATAACGTTTGTAAAGTGCTCACAAAAGTAAATCAAAACCAACTTGAATAAGTAAATATAAAACTATCAATAGTCTTGAGCCTGACCCTACCAGCAAGAAGAGCCTAAATATATTGTTCATTTTTGAAGGTGTAGTGCCTAAGGCATTTAACTGCCAACCAGAAAGCTGGGGTTCAAACCCACCAGCCACTCCTCAGAAGGAAGATTGGGCAATCTACTTCCGTAGAGATACTGCCTCAGAAACCCCAGGAGGGGTTGCTATGAGTCAAGTCGACTCAATGGCAATAGGTTTGATTTTTGTTTGTATTAACTCTTTAAAGCCATCAGTTACCAGGATAGGTAATTAAGTGGTAAACTAAGTGGTTTGAAAGAGCTAATAGAAAAAGTGAGCACATTTACTCACTTCTCACCTGTGGGTCCATTACTAGTACTTTCACCAGAGAAGTATTTCTTAATCTGGAATAATTTGCTATTACGTTTATAATGCCCACAGCTGAAGGTCACTCAGGAACCAAGAGCAAAGAAAGGACGACGTAATCAAAGTGTGGAACCCAAAAAAGAAGTAAGTTGCCCTGGCTTTGCAGTGTCCAAGTGGCAGTTGAAACAGAAAATAGTTTTAAAGTTATCAAGATATTCACTTCTTGGAGGACACTTGTGAAATTTAGTTGCCATCATTCAAACATTATTAGTCACATTTGAACCTGGTTTCCTGAGCTTTCCTATCTATTATCACTAGAAATACAAAAACGTGCTCAAAGTCTGTCATAATTAAACAACTACGAAGGCACCTGACTGCTAACCAGAAGGTTGGTGGTTCAAACCCACCAGCCACTCCACAGAAGCAATACTGGACAATCTACCTCCGTAAAGATTTACTGCCTCGGAAACCCAATGGGGGTCGCTATGAGTTGGAATAGACTCCATGGCAGCAAAAGTTTGGCTTTTTTTTCTTCTTTGGATGAACTGTGGCTGAATGGGACAGGAACTTTGCTCTACAGTGCTAGGTTTCATGGAACTCTAGTATTTTTTTCATAGCTTTATTAAAAATAAAACAGTTAACCACTAAATCAATTAGGCCAACATTTGAAAACTATGCCTAATTTCGGCCATACTTAATGATATGATTCAAGCATGTTTTAAAACTATGTATAAATCCGAGCATAGTCCAAACACATGTTCAGTGAAAAATTATTTAGCGTCTCAAATTTGTTAATGAATCTAGTCCATAGAAGTGATTATAAGTTGTTAATAATGATTTTTCATTTTATATAACAAATTTTTTCATATATTTTAAAAGAAAAAAATAGTATAAAATATGTAATGAAGTTGTAAATTCCTGTTTAGAATCATTATAGCTGTTAATTATATAATTACATGTTTTTAACAGCAGTTTTATCATGTGGCTGTTTATACATATCACTATATTTTTATCCTAATGGAGGTTGTGCTTGTACTGGTAAATTATATTGCTTTGTTTTAGGTCTAAGCATTTTTCTTACTCTGTAGGAACCAGAGCCTGAAACTGAAGCAGTGAGTTCTAGCCAGGAAATTCCGACAATGCCTCAGCCAGTAGAAAAAGTTTCAGTTTCTACTCAGACCAAGAAGTTAAGTGCCTCTTCTCCGAGAATGCTGCATCGAAGCACTCAGACCACTAATGATGGAGTGTGTCAAAGCATGTGCCATGACAAATACACCAAAATTTTCAATGACTTTAAAGACCGAATGAAATCTGATCACAAGCGAGAAACTGAAAGAGTTGTACGAGAAGCTCTAGAAAAGGTAAAGCTAGCCATCACAACTGGTATATACAGCCTGCTGCTTTCTGAAACCTGGCCCAAAGAATGAATAGCATTTCCTGTAGTGGTTTATTAGCAGCTTTTATTTATGCATTAACCAAGTAGCACTTTTTACAACTGGGAATATAATGAAACCTTATTAATATTTCAATTAATAATGATACTTTTTCTCAACTAAATTTGATACAGACCTTAATGAAATAAAGGGAAGAGTTACATCATATGAGAAGAAAACATGCATTAAAGTGGTTTTATTTAAGTGACTGAGCTCACTTATTGTGGTTTAACTTTTTTCATTTCAGCTGCGTTCTGAAATGGAAGAAGAAAAAAGACAAGCTGTAAATAAAGCAGTAACCAATATGCAGGGTGAGATGGACAGAAAATGTAAGCAAGTAAAAGAAAAGTGTAAAGAAGAATTTGTAGAAGAAATTAAGAAGCTAGCAACACAGCACAAACAACTAATTTCTCAGACCAAGAAAAAACAGTGGGTAAGTATCAGTATTTATTTATCAGCTGACTTCTGAAAACATACCACAGGTATAATTAAAATCAATTTAGAAAAGTATATGCCAGATATGCAAAAATTATTCCTGAAATAAGATGAAATGTGAAAATCACAACTTTAAAAATTTTTATTAGAAGTCCTATAAATCTCTAAACCCCAGATCCCACATTACAGAGTATTGCTCAGGATTATTTTGTTAAAATGAGATTCTGATACTTTAATACATTAAGTATTTAGTACAATTATATAATTTTTTCATCTATACATATCTTTTACCAGAATAAGTAGATAACATCTAAATATTGTGGCAGTGGAACTTTAAAGATCGTAATAGTAAATTAAAGATTTTCAAATGTTACCGTACTCAGCATATGTACTTTACATAACAGATGACGCACTGTCCTCGAGTTGTATCTGACTCATAGCAACCCCTCCTTAGGCTTCTAAAGCAGAATCACTACAGAAGTAGATTGCCCAATCTTCCTTCCAAGGAGTGGCTCTTGGTTTTGAACCGCCAGCCTTCTGGTTAGCAGTCAAATGCCTTAGGCACTACACTACCAGAGTTCCTTTACATAACAGAATAATACTTAAAAAAGAATTAGAAATTACTTTTACTGTGGAGGAGCAGCTCATTGGTCTCTAACCTTAGAACCTGATTAAAGAGTATCATTTTTCATTGTGTCATGTTTATAAATCTTGTCTTTCCACCTATATGAGAAGTTTTCTGAGTACACAGAGTCATGTTCTTTTATTTCAATCTTCTACAACACTTAGTAAATTGGTGGGCAAAAGTTTTGTTTCCAAAAGCTCAGAACTTGGTTTTTAATTTTAGTAAATTATAAAGGTTTGTGATCATTTATTTAAATTCTTCATCTTTTCCAGCTTATATAATGAAGAGATGCTTTAAATACATGTAAATTTTTCATGAAATAGATAAAAATAAAAATCGTTGATAATGATTTTGCAAGAAGAAAAGAGGAAACAACATATAATTTAGAAAAATATGTGAAGGAAAGAAACTTGGGATGAAAAATTGAGGAATAAAAAATAAATATCACTGATGGGAATTTAGGTATGCTCAAGATAATAGCAAAAGCAGAATGCCCTAAGACCATGTCTGCAATAATTTTAAAATCATGCAGTAACTAGAAAATGCAGACGGTGGAATTAGATTTATGAGAACATGTCTTCATAAGTTTATTTAAAAAACAAAGAAAAGGGAAGAAGAGGCGTTAATAAAGAATTATAATACTGCTGCTTATAGCACTTTACTATAAAGAAAAGAAGTCCCTAGGTAATGCAAATGTGTTCATGTGCTCAGCTGTTAATGAAAAGAGTCTACCCAGTAGTCCTCTGAAGAAAGGCCTGGCAATCTACATTTGAAAAATCAGCCAGTGAAAAGCCTGTGGAGCGCAGTTCTACTCTTACACACATGGGGTCGCTATTAGTCAGAATAGACTCAGTAACAACTGGTTACCATTTGTGAAATAGTTGTGGTTGTTACTGCTGTACCCATTCTTTAATTGACAAACTCTGATCTAAACAAAGAATCCATATAAATTTGTCAGTTGGACATGGAAGATACCCAGAAGTGAGGATGAGCAGGGTTGTTGGCAAGGAAGATGAAAAATTGAGATTTGGACACTAAACACTTGAAAATGGGTCACTAAAGATATGCAAGTTTAAAAGACGGAAAGAATAGATTTTATGGTTGATGGTAAGAGTCTTGATGATAAGACTCCGAATATTCTATATTTGGAACCTAAAAATTCAGCCCTCTAATTTTTGTCATGATTGTGTCCTCTGTCCTTCCTGATCTATTAAAATTAACATCTTGAGATTTCTAGTTAGTTAGCTTGTCAGCAACTACAACTTGAATGAAGTTACTATTAGAAATATGTCGATAGCATGGTTTCATTTTAGATACAGTTTGGAATAATTCAGACAGATCTGTATTTGAAACTTAGGTCTGTACCACCAACCAGTTATGTGGCTTTGGACCAAGTTTATTTGTCTTCTATTTTAGTTTCTTCATCTTTAAATATTATTTCCCCAAAAAGTTGTTTTAGGATGTATATCTATTGGAGGAAATTTTCTTTGTTGGTTACCAGGGGTGGGAGGGGAGGGGAGGGGAGGGAACGCTGTTAGATAGATAGAGATAAATACTGATTTGGGTGAAGAGAAGGGCAATGTATCAAATGTGAGTGACCAATATGGCAGCATTGAGGATGAGAAAGACATAGAGAAGTACATAAATAAACCTTTCCTTAACTTTTACAATAACGGACTAATACAATATTTGTCCTTTTGTGACTGACTTATTTCACTCAGCATAATGTCCTCCAAGTTCATCCACATTATGCGGTGTTTTGCAGATTCGACATTATTCTTTAGCATTGCATAGTATTCCATTGTGTGTATGTACCATAGTTTGGTTATCCATTCCTCAGCTGATGGACATCTAGGTTGTTTCCATGTTTTGGCTATTGTAAATAGTGCTGCGATGAACATCGGCGTGCATATATCTGTTCTTGTTATGGCTCTCACTTCTTTAGGGTATGTACCTAGTAATGGGATGGCTGGGTCAAATGGTATTTCTAATTCCAGCTTTTGAAGGAATCGCCATACTGCTTTCCACAATGGTTGTACCATCTTTATAGTCCCACCAGCAGTGTATGAGAGTCCCAGTCTCTCCACAACCTCACCAGCATTTGTTATTTTCTGTCTTGTTGAACTTTGATACTAGTGCTGGAGCAAGATGGTATCTCATTGTTGTTTTGATTTGCATCTCTCTAATAGCTAATGATCATGAGCATTTCTTCATATGTTTGTTGGCCGCTTGAATATCCTCCTTGGTGAAGTGTCTATTCATGTCTTCTGCCCATTTTTTAATTGGATTGAGTAAACATATTTTTAAACATCTTTTGTCTCCCAAGCATCCTATTACCTTGTTTGTTCATTTACTTATTCTTACATTCACTCATTCATTTAGTTTGCCATTTTCCCTTTCTTTGTGGGTATATTGAAAGAATATACCTTTCTCACTGTTTTCCTCAATTGTGTCTCATCTTAACTTTCATTTTTTTGGCATCTGACATATTTACATTCTTTCTGCCCTATAATGCTATACTGTCTCTTAAATCATTTCTACATATTTCACCAGTCTACTAGAAAAAATGTGATGAGTAGAAAAAAATAGGTTTTGGAGTCCCAGTTTAGGTTCAGTCCTACCTCTACCAACTAGGTTTTTAATCATTCTGTTGATTCTCACAAGCCTCTACTCACTAGCTACCAGTAGCACCCCTCGCCCCTAAGTCTTGACAGTTAAAAATATTTTTCAGATATTTCCACATAAGATAAAGACTGGAAACTGACCACTGTATTTGAGATCATAAGTGACCTTGCTAATACCAATATTCAGTGGAGGGACAGGGGTGAAAGATTTTGTAGGTTTAAGAAAGAGTGGGAGGAGACTGTCTGGTAGAGCCTGATGGAACCCCTGAGACTATGGTCCCTAGCTGCCCTTCAGGTCTATAATTGAACCCACTTCTGTGGCTTCCAGCCAAACAAAAGACAGGCATGTGAGCTGAACATTTACATTAGGCAGATACACTCCTAGGAGAGATCAATCATGGGAGAAAAGAAGTGCTGTGTATGCACAGGGGACAGCTCAGGGGGCAGGAATGCATGGGAGGGAAGGACACAGAGAAGAGATAACTATGGGGAGGAAGTGGGAGGGGAGCTGTTGATTGTCAGAAATTGCAGTCAGTGTCATGAGACAAAGTGTATGTGAGCTGCTGTAAGGAAAGTGAATTTGCTCTATAAACCTTCACCCAAATCACAATAAAAATTAAAGAAAAAACGAAGAAAGAAAGAAAGAGTGGGAGGAGAATTGGAAATAGTAAGTATAGACAATTTTTTCAAGAATTTTGTGAAGAGGAGTAGAGAAATGGAAATGATGGCTGACAAAGTATGCTAGATCGAGAGCAGAAGATGAAAAATGATCAGTGTTTGTGTGCTGAGAAGAATGATGAGATATGAAAACAATTAGCATTATAGGTTAAGAGTTTGCTTTTTTTACTTTTTATTCTGCTCATTATATAAAATATATTATAAATCTTAAATGTTACAAACTTAGTAGCTTTTAAAGCATGACTTCAGAAGTCTTTCATTTTAACCAGCTTCTTTGACATTCAATCCCAAATCATGAAACTTCCTCCCTATTTGCTGTCTGTAGTGCTACAACTGTGAAGAGGAAGCCATGTACCACTGTTGTTGGAACACATCATACTGTTCAATCAAGTGTCAGCAAGAGCACTGGCATGCTGAACACAAACGTACCTGTCGTCGGAAAAGATGAAAGCTGTATTCTTCCTGGAGAATCACCCCGATGATTACTGTTCTCAGACACAGCGGTTTTTGTTTCCAAGAAGCCAAAATTGTTTAGAATTTGCTTCCCATTTTGCACCAGCCTTTAAACACTTTTCGTGAAGAAATTTTGCACAGTAGTTTAAATCTTTTGTTAATGCTCCTCCAGAGTTTTTCAGGAGGTAAAAGTAACATCAGTGGAGGGTATTATTTTAAATAAATTATAATTGAGAATTTGTTGCATTTTCAGCAAATTTTAAAACATTTTTAGGTTTTCCAGAGATTTTAACCTTTAAACAACAAATCTTTAAAAAAAAAAAAAAAAAAACAGGTGAATACAAGTGAGTTTAACAAAGAAACATTTAAAATAGATCTGAATGTAAGAACTACACAGAACTGCTTCAGAAATAAAACATACTACCTTGATGTAACATTTATTTCTTAACCTTGTTGAGCTGGTTTTGTTCAGCTTAATTTACTGTTTAAAGGCATTATCTATTGGTTATGCCAGTGGGTATATGATTGAATTTAGGGAACAGGGTTGACACAGCAGGTGCTAGTCCTGCATATTTTTTCTTAAATATTTCCCAATTGTGTTTTTCATTATTTCTTTTCAATATATAACTTTTATAACAAATTATTAGCTTTGATCTTGTAGTTTAAAATTGCAGGGAACTGGGGTAATCTTTTACTGAGCTGGATCTTAGAGAAAATGAATATTTAAATTTTAAAGTTTGCACATTTCGTCTTTGTCCTAACATGAGTGCTTGTAACAAAGTAAATAAACAACAAAAATAAAACAAAAAGCCAAAAACTACCTTTACCCATATGTGAAATGATCAATGAGGCATTCAAATTTCTTTAATGCTTCCCTTCCCTCTCCAAATATCATCTGACTGCCTATTATCTGGTGTCACCTAGTATATTGTAAGTAAGTTAATACTAAAAGGAAAGAAAGCACTTAAGTTTCACAGAAGCCGTTATGTTTGTAGTAATGGGTCATTGCCTATTAATGAACTCCATCACTGTACACAGAATGAAGAATAATGCATGTTAATTTTGTTGTATTAAAGATGCCGTGATTTGTAAAAAGTCTGTATTTTGCGGAATGTCTGGATTAAGAAGCATTACAATAGGAATGGATCGATAGTTGAATAATGATTTTTTTTTTTATATATATACATAGATATATAAAATACAGCCAGGAAAACTTAAATTACTTTAAAAAAAAAAAGAAAAAAGTCACAATTTACGTTTTTTCAAAGGCTGACTGATCTTAGACCAAGTCAAATTCCCATTTATCATTTAGTTATTTTTTGAGGTTAGAGAAATAATTTGTAAATATTTATTTAGATCTTTGATATTTATTAAAGCAATTACACATAATGGAAGTGAAAGAATCAGGAGAAAAGCCTTTAAAAAAGTTTTCTCTAGGTTTGTCAGGGTCACTCTAAAGATAAAAATATAACTAAGTCTTCTGTGAAATAATCATCCATCCAGTCCTGAGACTGTTGCAGATGGTGGTGACACAAGTTAATTGACAAGCTACTGCCAAATGGTGCACAATATTTTGTAATAATGACATGGTAGCCCATTTCAAATGATATACCTAAATTATTCAGTAACTTGGATGATTACCCATCCTTGTTACTGTGTAATTAACCATGTTGCCACAGTGTTGTGGTACTGATTGAATAATAATAATACATTATAATCAAGAAAAGTTAACCTTCTTTGATTGTTTTTAAGTTTTAAAACTTCGATCCACCCCTATGAGAGCAAGTTATTGTGGAAATATTTTTGGTGTAAAATCATTCCAGAGTATGTAATATTTAACTGATAGCTGCATGAAAGTAAGATTCGTGTTACTTTGGCTTTTTTGTCTCTGTTGACACGGTTGCACATTTCCAAGTTACTACAGCGTGAAAACTGTGTGTTAAAAAACAAAAAAACAAATTAAAAAAAGAGATTGTGGCCTGGTTTTGTAAAAGTTTTAGGTAAAATTACAATTGATTGTTTTAGGAATCATTAAAAAATTTCTGCAAATCATAAAGCTATATTAAGGTGTTGAGCTTAGCCACTATGCACATTGTAATTACTCATTGTGGCTGTTCAGTTCTATGATGCATTCTGGCATTTTGTAAGCTGCTCTGACTAGCAATATATAGATTCATTTAATGTGTTAACATTGGTTAATAAATGTATTTAAAAAAAAAAAAAAAACACACAACTGGCTTTAATAAATTGTTAATTTAGCCCAGTCTCCTGTACCAGACCAAACACAACTGTAGCTAAATGTTGATCACATACTGTGGGTATTGGTGACTATTTACCATATATAATATCAGTGTGCTAAATATAATACATTCACTTAAACATTTATTTAAATTGAATTCATTTTAATGAGTTCTCAGACTATATCATGATTTAAAAATGAGAGAATGATTATTGCATATTAATTGCATGCCAGTGATTACTGCATATCAGCCTGAAGAACTGATGCATTGCCGTCTTTTGATTATTCAGAAGTTAAATATATCTGTAAGAAAGTCTGCCTGGATTCTGCACTATTGAGTACAGAGCAAATTGTTAATTGAAAACTAGCTGAGGCTTATCCTCTGCTTTTTTATTGACTTGTTGGTATGCCAATGAATACTCACTTAGATGCAAAAATGAGGCACCTGTCAGACAAACTTACATTAAGAAACTAGAATATAATGTTTTCTATTACAGTTAAATCAAACAAAAAAATAAATGCAGTGCTATCAAGTAGATTCCGACTCCCAGTGATCCTACAGGATGGAGGAGAACCTTACAGGGTTTCCAGCACTGTAAATCTTTATTTACTGAAGCAGGCTGCCTCATCTTTTTCCTTGCTAAGCAGCTGGTGGGTTCAAACCACTGACCTTGTAGTTAGCAACCCAAATGCTTTAGCCAGTATGTCACCAGAGCTCTTTTGTTTGTATTATAGAGATGTTGTTATAAAACAGAAATTAAGTGTGCCTTATGCAAGGATAATATATCTATGCCATTTATTGGACCATATTCAGATTCCAGTTTAAAGGAGATTCCAGTACCAGGACACATCAATTACATGGGCTCTTTGAGTTGGGGGTTCTGAAGCAGTCTATCCATTCCTCAATCCCTCCATCCCTACCTACCTCCCACCCCAAAAGGCCTTTTAAAGCATTCTGAAAAGCACAGTTTGAAAATCTGTTAGGATGTGTGAGCTATACAAAGAATGAATTTTTTGTGTTTTTTTAGGCTAGTTGTATGTAGGCTTCAGTTGCTCAACCCCAGGTTTTAGTGCCAGACACTAAGCATTTGGGGAAAAAAAAAGTTAACTGTGGGTCTTGGTACTCTCTGTAGTGTTCATCATTCATATCCTGAAGGCATATAGTCATTACAATCAGAGTTTAGGCCTGATTGAATACTGAAGTCCAAGTTACTGTAGGATTCTACAGTTTCCATCCATAATAGTAGTACCATTCTAATTATCTTCATTTTGTTTTTGTTTTGCTACATCCATCTTTCTAAGCAACAAATTTGCTGGTATTCATTTTAAAATCACATCATGAGACAACTATTTCTGAACATTAATCAGATTTTTGTTCTAAAATAGCTTTTTAAATTAAGAATACTTGAACCGATAAAGAAGTCTAAAATATATCTAGTCTATCAGTAGAAACAGTCATTATCCAAATGAAACAAAAGGCAGTATCTATATGAAGATGTGGTAAAGTGATTACATGAACGTGAAATGACAGTAGGCACACTAGGTACACTGGGGGTACACTAGTTTGAATTAGTGGAATGGATTAGAAAATAAAAGAAATGCAGTTTACAACTTTGCAGTATTTAAAAAATCTTCAAATAGAATATTTGTGTGGAAGAAGTCTTCTTTTAATAAACAAGAAGGAATAATTTGCAATTGTAGCAATAGCCTACCTACATCTAGCTACTTCAGATAGAATAGATTTAGATAGGATAGATGGGTTTAGAAAGATTAAATAAATTGCCCAGACCTACCCAATTGATAAGTGGCAGAACTGAATCTAAAAGTCAGATCTACTTGATTGCAAAGCCTTTTCTTAACTCATATGCTAGGCTGAACATACAGATAGCAAATTATTCAATAAACATATTAGTCAAGATCATCAAGTTCAATACATTAAAAATATAACTCATCATCTTAGTCAATATTATCAAGGTCAATACATTAAAACCAGATGTATTCATTACACCATTTCTCCAACCAATGTAGGCAGCAGTATCATATGCCTAGTCACCCAGACTAAAGCATAAAATAATAAATGGCTTCTCCCTTTTATTTGCCTTCAGTGTCTAATTCAGAGATTCTCACGCTTTTGTGACATCAGAATCAACTCAAGGGCTTCTCAAACAAATTGCTGAGCCCCTCCCTCCACCCGAGTTTCTGATAGAGAATTTGCTTTGCTAACAATTCCTTACTCAATAGCAAATACAACAGCAGCAGCAGCAGCAGCTGATGCCATACTTTCAGAACTCCTTTAATAATGCAATAAAAGCAATGGCCCCTTTCCTGAAAAAATGCACATGCCCCCTCAAGTCAATTCTGACTCAGTGACCCTATACGACAAAGTAGAACTACCCCATAGGGTTTCCATGGCTGTAAATTTTTAAGGAAGCAAATCACTGTATCTTTCTCCCAACTGATAGGTTTGAACCACTAACCTTTCAGCAGCCAAGTGCTTAATCACTGTGCCACCAGGGCTCATACAGATATACATGTATATACACACAGATACACATGTATAAATTAGCTTGCATAATATTACAGAATTCTACAGATTGCTCAGGCCCATCTGTAGGCCCCAAGTTCCAAAGGATCTAGGCCCCTCAGGTTAAGAATCCCTGTTTCAGTGGGACTGCAGAGGTAAATGATGGGTGAGTAGACAAGTAGAGTTCTGTTACTGTAACCTAGCTGAGACTCTCAGACATTTGTATGTACACAGATCAACTGGGGGTGTAGTTAAAGTGCAGAACCTGAATTAGTAGGTCTAGAACGGGACTCCTGATTCTGCCATTTCTTATAACCTTCCAAGAGATCCTGATTCTGCTGGTTTGGGGACCACACTTAAGACCACACTTTAAAGTCTTAAAAAGAGTATGGAAGTTCATAAAGGGCTAAAAACTACTGCACTAAATTAAAGCCTCATAAATCTAAAGTACTATCAAATAGAAATGGATAGTGCAAGGCACGTAAATAATTTTAAATGTATTAATTAAAAATCAAACCAGTTGTTATTAATTCATGACAACTCCATGTGTGTCAGTGTAGAACTATGCTTCACATGGTTTAAATGGCACTGCACCACTCAGGGGCTCTAAATTTTCTAATAGCCAAAAAAAAAAAAGTAAAAAGGATCAGGTGAAATTAATTTTACACACACACATGTATTCAAAATCCAGTGTCTGTTTTACACTTAAAACATCCCAATTCAGACTGTTGTTGTTGTTGTTATGTGCCGTCGAGTCAGACCTGACTCATAGCGACCCCTCCTTGGGTTTCCGAGGCAGTATCACTACAGATAGTAGGATTGCCCAACCTTCCTTCCGAGGAGTGGCTAGTGGGTTTGAACCGCCAGCCGTCTGGTTAGCAGTCAAGTGCCTTAGCCACTATGCTACCAGAGCTCCCCAATTCAGACTAGCCACATTCAAATGCTCCATACCAAAAAACTCCAAACTCACTGCCATCAAGTCAGGTCTGACTCATAGTAACCCCGCCTTGGGTTTGCGAGGCACTATCTCTGCGGAAGTAGACTGTCCAGTCTTCCTCCTGAGGAGTGGTTGGTGGGTTTGAACCACCACCCTTCTGGTTAGCAGTCAAATGTCTTAGGCACTATGCCACCAGAGTTCCTTGTAAATGCTCCATAACCACATGTAGAGAGCTCTGGTGGCACGTGATTAAGACATTGGGTTACAAATGAAAAGGTTTGAATCCACGAGCTGCCCCATAGGAGGAAGATGAGGCAATCTACTTCCATAAAGATTTGTAGCCTTGGAAACCCAATGGGGTCACTATGAGTCAGAAATTATTCAATCTCAGTGGGTTTTATAGCCACATGTGACTAATGGCTACTGTATTGGACAGAGCAACTTAACAAGAGGTTTATCTCAGCCAACAACATGTCCCTATTAGCATCAAAAAAGAGCCCTGGTGGTATAATGCTTAAGTGCTATACTGCTAACCAAAAGGTCAGCAGTTCAAACCCAACCACTGGCTCCACAGGAGAAAGGACCTGGTGACTGCTCTCATAAAGATTTCAGCCTAGGAAATTCTGTGGGGCGATTCTACTTTGTCTGATAGGGTCACTATGAAAGGGAATCTACTTGACAGCACATAACATCAGCACCTTTCATAGAGTGGATATTCATTCAACAAATATGTATTAGAGGGAGCCTGGGTGTCACAAGTTTTTGTAATTAGCTACTAATCCAAAGATTGGCAGTTTGAATATAACCAGTGGTTCTGCAGAAGAAGGGCCTGGTGATCTGCTTCTGTAAAAGTTTATAACCAAGAAAATCCTATGGAGCAATTCTATTCTGTAACACATAGGATCACCATGATTCAGGAGCCAACTCGACAGCAGATGACAGTAACAAACTTGGTACTGAGGAGTTGACAAGAAAAATATATTCAGTTCTTGTCGGAATTTGGTCAGTTTCTTAATGTCAGATTTGAGAGCTTAAAAACCATGCATTTGAGGACTTCCGGCAATGGGCAGACAAGTTACACAAACCCTCTACAACAAAGAAATGAGAAAGCAATTGAAACAGATACAGAAGATAATCCTGGAACCCTGAGCTTCAAAGGGAATGATAAAGAAGTGGATTAAATGCTGACTAGTAGAAGAACCTGAATGAAAACAGTGAATAAGGAATCAAATAGAGCTGTGGACTGTCACTTGGCCTGATGGTGTGACCATTTTGAATATTTGCAAGCAGTGTCCTGATTTATGCAACAACCTAAAAATCAGCTTTGCTTGTCAAGGACTACATAAGCAACCATACTGGTGACTGATGACTAGAAAGGTATGATATTCTCCTCGTTTCCCTTGTATCTCACACCCTCTCAGTGAACAGAGGTATAGCCAGCCCCCATCCCCACACAGTTTCTGGACCAGCAAGAATTCTATCTCAGTCCAGGTACTCTATTCCCAGCCATTTTTTGGG